CACTCTAAGTGAGGCTTCTTTGAAGTACAGCCAGCTCTCCTAGACTCCTCTCCCCCTCAGACTGGCTTTCCAGGGTATCCTGCCCATGCTAGCTGTTTGAAGAAATCCTTATCCACCATTTCCTCCTGGTCTGGTGGTCTACAGCAGACCCCCACCATGCTATCACCCTTGTTTCTCTACCCTCTGACCCTAACCCAGAAACTCGCAACAAGCCCATCTCCAGTTTCATACTGGAGCTCTGAGCAATCATATAGCTCTTTTATATAAAGTGTGACTCCTCCTCTTCTCCCCTGCCTGTCCTTCCTGAACAGTTTGTACCCATCCATGACAGTGCTCCAGTCATGTGAACTATCCCACCAAGTCTGTTATTTCAATCACATCACAATTCTGTGACTGTGAGGACCTCCAGTTCTTCCTGTTTGCTTCCTAGTTTCTGTGCACTTGTGTACAGGCACCTAAGGTAACTAGTTGATTGACCTAATTTCTCAGGAAGTATGAGAGCACCTCCCCTGTTGCCCCCTACTGCTTGTTCTTCCTCCAGGTCTCCTGCTTCCCCACTTACCTCAGGGCTTTGGTCTCCATCCCCTAGTGAACCTAGTTTAAGGACCTTCTCACTAGGTTAGTGAGCCTGTCTAAGAAGATGCTCTTTCCTCTCTTCGTCAGGTGGATCACATCTCTTGCTAGCAATCCTTCTTCTTGGAAGAACATCCCATGGTCAAAGAAGCCAAAGCCTTGCTGGTGACACCACCTGTGCATCCAGGATTTGATCTGCAGGATGAACCTGCTCCTGCCTGGGCATTTCCCTTCACCAGAAGGATTGACGAGAACACAACTTGAGCCCCAGACCCCCTCACTCTTGCACCCATAGCCCTGTAGTCACTTTTGATACACTCGGGATCTCCCCTGGCAGTATCACTAGTGCTCACATGGATGAACAGCATGGGGTAGTAGTCAGAAGGTCAGATGAGCTTTGTGACACCTTGGATCCAGGCAAGCAGCAGATTTCCCAAGACAACAGATCAGATCAGCCGATGGCTCCCTTCCATCCCCACAGAAGGGAGTCTCCAACCACCACTACCTGTTGCTGCTTCTTGGTGGCAGTTGTCTTGATTCTTCCCGCCTTGGTGAGCCCTTGCCTGTCTTCCTCCACCAATGGAGCCTGCTCCTCCCTCTCTGTTGCTAGGACTGCATATTTGTTCTTCAGATAAACCACTGCAGGTGGAAGTGAAGATCTCTGCTTACTGCCATAAGTCACAAGCCTCCAGCTTCCACCCTCTTGGGAGTCAATGCCCTCTCTCTTCTGTAGTGCTTCCTCTGCCATTTCTTCCTCCAGTCCCAGAGGTCTGCTCCAGCATCCAACTGAACTCCTCATGGCAGAAGCCTTGCCACCTCCTCCTGTAGTTCTCTTGCCCGTTTCCTGAGAGACACCACCAGGAGGCACCACTCACACCACAGGTGCTTCCTGACCTGGCTGTCACTGGAAGGAACCTGCAAATTACAGTTTCCACAGTGCCAAACCTGCGCCTGGGTAGCAGTGTTGACAGTGAGTGGTCCTGGCTGGACAGACACATCACAGGTGGAAGCAGAGGCAGTGGCAGTGGCTCTGGCATTGCAACATCCTCCAGCCTTTTCCCTGGGTATCTTAATCTGCCTTCTCTCTCTTACTGCTCTTCTTCCAAGCACACCTTCCCTAGAGAACTCACGTGCTTACACCATTTGCTGCCCCTGCGTGCTCACTTGATCCATAAGTGAAGCAAGCTTCAAGGACCTAGAATTCCAGTTTTAGAGCAAAGAGTATCTGTTCAAAAGTTCACAATTGTGCTAGTCACAGTTTGGTTCATGGTGACTTTCAGATGTAAACACAAAACAAATGGTTTATTCTGGGTCACAGTTAACACTAGAAACATTTTTGCCAGCTGTTGTTTACAGTTGGTTGCCTTCATTAACAGGTGCTAATACAACATAGCAGTGCAAACCCTAGGAAAGCCATTGCAGAGATACCTCTGACCACCTACAAAGCCACAGGCTTGCAGACTGAAACATATCCTGTGAAGGGATATCTAGACAAAGCCGGTCCTCTGGTTAACCATAAACTGCTAATTTATGTTTCAGTCATTAGTGTTGCCATTTAATCTTACCAGGGTTTTTCTTTTCTTTTCTTCCACAAATATATATCATAATGTATTAGCATGTCAGATGCATGGGCTCCCTGAATTGTCACCACTGACAGATTTTGTTTCTGGCTCCTCCATGTTAGGGATCTCTTACTCTTTTTTGAAACTCTTGACATACCAGGCCAACACATAAGTGAGGAGGGATTCCATGAAATCAGACACAGGAAACAAATCTCTCAGAAAAACTCAGTAATAAAGATTCTGGCTTTTTTTTTCTTTCTTTCTTTTTTTTTGCAGCAATTTGGTCATGTTGTTTTTCAAAATAGCTGACTGGCAAAGAATGTGGTTTCTGTTTATTCAGAAAATCATGGGGCTAACATTTCAGCCTTCCAATCCTAGGGGGAGTTCATGATACATTCCAGTCACAATTCAGTTTCTCATCACTGATATCTTTCAATTTCAAACTAGTCTCTTTCATTTCTGCATCTCAGGAAGTGACATCAATCATTGATCCCTCCCTTCTTCCTGTACAAACCCCCACTTACCAAAAGCTGCCTACAGTGGAGATCTGCTGCATCATATCTGAGCGTATGCAGATGATGTAATTAAATGGACCTACCTGCGTATTTGAGTTTTAGCTTGTAAAACTACTGTTACAGAATACAAGAGGAGAGGAAGACAACTAAAAGACTTAACAGAGCTGATTGCTTGGAAAGATGGGAAACTGCATCCACAAGACAAGGTAGGGCCAACAGTAAGCTATGAATTTTGAAGACTGGACTGGGACACAGAGGGGAAAGGATTAAAAATAAATATTTTAGGAATTAAACAAGGGTAAGTGGCACCCATGATGTGTAACCCCTTAAGGGACCAAGAAAAGTCCATTGATTAACAAAAGCTCACTAATCAAGGTGAACAAAATCATAGTGGGTATGTTTTAGGATAGGCAATTACTCCAGATTTTGGCTCTGAGGATTTGGCTGGTGTGGGTATCACTCTGTTGCAGAAGTAAAGTAAACAAGGCACAAGCGATTTACCCAGAATCACACAACAGGTCAATGGCAAGTCCAAGAATGAACCCAGGTCTCAATGCTGTGCCAATGCTGTGTCTTGGCCACTGAAGATGTGCAGAATCCCATGTCTGTATTCAGTCAGGGACATGCTCTATTTAAAGACACTAAGAACCACACACAGTATGATTTGGCAGCTGTTGTAATCCCAACAGGTTGCAAATACTGCACTGTACCAGGGCTTCAGTTTGGGCAGAAGACTGATGAGAGTTCACTGGGTCCAGAACTCTTCACCAATATCACCTACAAAAGGGGAGGGAAAAGGCCTTCATTCAGTGCATAGTAAATAAGTCACTTAAATTCACTGGATATGGAAATATTTTTTTTTAACCACAAAAGAGTGTCACTGTGAAGAGAGGGGAGTTGCTATTTAGTCAGGAAACTTCTACATGGGAGCAATTTAAGGTTTTCATTTTATTTGAAAATTAACTGCAGTTTAAAATTAACTGCATTATATATTTGATCTTGCTGTTCACTGTATATACCGTTTGCCTTTTCCTAACCTAATCATTCACTAGGGTGTCACTCTGGAAGACACCAGAATTCTAAAGGTTATTGGGTAGTTCCTACACATGAGCTTTCCATCTATCATCTCCCATTTCCCATTGTGGCTATTAACTTTCCAGCCTGCTGAATATTCACATCTGCTGAATGCTATCCTAGTTCAAATTTTCTGTCCTTGAACTCCATGCAGAAACTGGTGGGTTTGGTCTAATAAGCTATCTCTGTACTAGATATCTGAGAAACAAATGTAGCGGACTAATAGGTATATCGCTTCCTTGACAATGGAAAAAGGTTTGTTTTTTTTTTGTAGTAAATGAACTGTTTCTTGCAATGCTTTAGTTAGAGTGCCTTAGCAGGTTATCACTCAATGACTCACTGCCAGGTCATGTGTCTTATAGAGCTTAAACAAGCCTCTTTATTATATTTCCTAAAAATATGAACCCAAATTCATCATTTTGTTTATTTTCAAAATCAGTGACCCCTGCAACTGGCTACAGCCCTGGGAATAACCAGAAGACTCCAAGGCAGGGCCACCTAAAAGCACCGCATGTCCTCCTTGAATATTATGCAGACAGGATAAAAACTATCAAATCAGTAAAAATGATTTTTCAAGATGGACTTAGGCTCCCAACTCCATGGCTCTGTCTATACTGCCACTTTGGTAAGCCCAAGGCCACTATAGTGGAAAGAGGCCTATCCACTTACTCCTGGCTCTGCTTGTGCCCACGCTTACCATTTAAGCAATGTAGATGGCCCACAGCACTTCCAGGCTTTCTGATCAAGGTGCGTAATCAAGACTTCCCTAAACTGTCTATGGTGCCTAACACCAAGCTTCGGTACACATAGAGCAGAAGGTTATTTCTTTTGGCAGTGGTCCCAGACTTGACAGAGAAGATTTAGCTAGTCAATTAATTTCATTTTTGGGTGAGGCAAGGAAGATTATCCATCAGAGGGGAGCTAAACTCCAAATGCAGCAACACATCCCAGCTCTTGCCTATACGAGACATTGTTGCTCATGCCTGAGTGTCCACAGCACAATTTATGAAATCTGTTACAGTGACCACACTTGCCTAGTTGACTTGGTTTGCCCACTGGGGGCAATTCAAATTGGTTTTACGTGTGGGAAGGAAGGAACCCAATTCTGATATGTGTATCATTCCTCCCTTAAAACCTCCTTCATGCTGACAAATCCATGTGTTTCTTATACGTTCCTATATTCCATACTGAGGAATTAACAGGAAAACCAGAGGCAATGAGACAGACTGAAGTCCTAAATCAATAAATTGAGATTGTATTATGTTAAGTTTTGCTAAAAATCATCCTATTTGGCAGTAGGTTGCAAGGTTCTGTAGTTGCCCAAGTTCAGGGCCATCAGAAAAGAGAGAATGATGGCTCCCTGGCATTGAAACTAAGAAAGCTACTATTTGGGGGTAAAAAATAATTCCACGTAACTCTATTGGGATTAGGTTTAGTGCGTTCATTTTAGAATGCTGGTCTGCAGACATTAACATGGTCATAAGCTCTTAAAGGGGCTAGGTGTTCCAACCCATCCAAAATCAAGGCTATTGTATGATTTGCAGACATTACTAGCTACCTAATTCCCATTGATTTCTATGAGAGCTGAGAATCTTAAAAAGTTGTACAAGTAACATGCCACTGATAATCTTGTCACTTCTGAAAGGATTCTGTGTGGCTACCCCCCTGCTATAGTTAAAAAAAAGTTTTTCCCTGGAGGAAACAATGTATTTCTGAAACCCTGAACTAGACTTTTGGGAAAGTTAATCTGGTAGGACAGGTACCTTTACCATGAACTCTATCCTAGTGCAGGCTAATTTAATCACCACCTATGATGACCAAAAGAGATACCCACTTCGGACAGGACTAGAGACTGAGCTCCCTTAAAGAAATTATATTCAGTAGATATATCTGATGTAGCAACCCCCCACCATCAGTCTACTGCATTCTTGAAAGGAAGGCCTCCTTTGCAAGGAGAAAGGGCAAATTAATCATTTTAGTCTATTCTGTCTTCGTTACTGCACTGTCATGAATGTAGTTTGTGCACAATTTCTAACTGAAGCAACTTTAAGATACACTGTCAACTAAGGTCCCTGCAACATATTCAAATTAAAACTGGATAGAAACCAGCTATGAAGTTATTGCACATTTTCAAACATTAAATTAGTAGCTGGTTGGCTCTTTTTATAGCTGGATGAACATTTTTATTTACAGTGCAATAATTACTTTGTGCATGTGCCCAGTCTAAATGTATTACACCAGTGGTCTCCAAGCTTTTTAAAGTAGGAGATCACCTTTGGCATTTAAAAACAACTTCAAGATCTATCGTGTGCCCTACCCACCCAGCAGGTAAGTCTGTGGGAAGGGAAGATGGGGGCAGATCCAGGCAGAGGGAGAAAAGTTTATTTGGGAGCAAGCCTTCCCAGCAGGCAAGTCTGTGGGGGAAGGGGAGGAGGAAAGGGAAAGGGCTGTGGGGAGGGGTGGGGCAGATCAAGGCCCAAGCCCTAGCTCCGCTTCCTTCCTTACCACTGGGGCCTTGATCTGCCCCCCTCTCCAATGGCAGGGAGGCAGGGAGGGGAGCTGGAGCAGAGGCAGGCCCTGAACAGCTGGGGCGGGGAACTAAGCCACAAGTAGCTTGTCTGGGGGCTGCAGAGAGCGGGGGCCATGCATCTGAGCAGGGCATGGGGGGCATGTGCCCCCCGGATGTACACACTGGCCATCCTGGCTGCTGCTGCAGGCTGTGGCCAGGGCTATGCTGGGTGGCACTGGGAGTGGGGCTACGTGGGGGGCTGCAGGCACCTGAAAATTCATCATAGCCCCTGTGCCCAGTGCCACCACCTGGCCCAACCGCAGCACAGTGCAGCACAATCCAGAGCAGACTACCACTGTGAAAAGTATGGTGCTGCCTTCCAGCTCCAGCCCGCTCCCCCTGCAGATCCCAGGGGGATGGGGAAGACAGCATTGTGCTCTTCACAGCAGTGGTCTGCTCTGCACTGCGCTGTGCAGAGGTCAGGCTAGGCAGAGGTGCTGGGAGCAGGGGCTATGGAAAATTTTCAGTGCCTGCAACCCCGCACATAGCCCCACTCACAGCACAGCCCTGGCCCCAGCCAACAGTGGCTACCAGCCTAGTCAGTGTGCAGATCCAGGGGCCTATGCCTCTCATGCCCCGCCAGGCTGTGTGGTCCACCCTCTCTGTGGCCCCCAGATGAGCCAGTTGTAGCTTTGTCCCCCACTCCAGCTGTGCAGCGCTTGCCTCTGCTCCAGCCTCCTTCCCTCACCACTACTGCAGCTGACCATGCTGTCCAGCATTTAGGGGGGCACATGCCCCCCCCACACACACATCTGTGCACGATGGAGGCAGCTGCTGTTGCAGGCTGGGCTTTGCACCCGAGCCCAACTGCAGCTGGCCTGGGAGCCACCGAATGCCACGTGTGTCCAGCCACTAGGCTGAGCATCATCCCTTGCCCTCCCAGCAGTAGGACTCACATGGTGTCGGGCCACTTCCAGGCAGGGTTCAGCTGGGCTCAGCATGCAAAGGTCAGTCTGCAATGGCAGCAGCCTCTGCTGTGTACAGATGGGGGGGGCACCTGGGACCTCTGCCAGGGGGTGCACAGTGACGGGAGTCCCCCTGTGGACAAGCTGCCCAGGCTCGACCCTCCTACCACCTGCTCGGCTGGCTGGGGCCCCACTCAACTTACCCCTGCTCTTACCTCTACAGCACAGTCCCTGACTGTTGGGGGCCTCAGTCTGGCCTCCATCCCTTCCCTCCCCCAGGGACTGGCCTGCTGGGCTGGGGGTGGAGTGCACACATGCATGAACATGTGCTCAGCCCCCAACCCCAGCCTGGGATCAACTCCAACAGGGTCCAAGATCTACCAGTCAATGACCACTGCATTACATGACTGACCAGTTGATTGCATAAAATATGTAATGTGTGGCAGGGGCCTAATAATAAGAAGTGTTCAGCAGTTTTATGCCACCTTAACAGCTGTCTGGTCACCAGAGTAACAAATTCTATTTGGTGCTATCAGGAGAGAATATTTCTCTCCTTGTCCCTATTTTTTTTTCCTTTTGATTTGCCCTTACCCAATTTATCTTCTGGGTATCCCCAAAATTATTTCTGTGGCAATATGCAGAAATATACTTCTATATTTGTCTTAACCACTTACTGCAGCGATAAGAGGCTCCTATAGTTTTGTTGGACAGTATAGTAGACCTATAAACAGCTTCTAGCACAAAATTACAGACCCCTCTGGGCAGGCTTTTAAAATTATTAGATGTTTAAATAATTAATAAACACTGCATAGACTTCATCACAGTTTTTCTTTTCATTCTTCTGGGATTGTTCCCACACTTTTTTCCTCTTCGCTTTTCCACCATTGATCTCCCTGCTTAACTCAGTTCTCAAGTCATAACTAACTTCCTTAGAATGAGGGTTGCACAGCAGGCCTCATTCAAAGTGAAGCTGCCTTAAAAAACAAGTGCCACTTCAGTTACCCAGTAAGTGAGAACTGGCACAGATCCCTCTGGACAGAAAATTATTTTTCATCTTGTAGGCAATTTTAACATTACAACCTGCATCACATCAGGATGAGCCCAAGACCTTTGCATGTTAAAGAAAAACATAATTTTCTGCCTTCACCACCACTAGCTTTCAAAAAATATTTCTCAGCATTCAGCACATATCTACCCATGCAGGAGTCTAGGAGTCTCTCTCTCACATATTCCATACCCCTTTGGTATCAATTACAGAGAGTTGGAAATCTCACTCCAACACTGTGAGTTTTTTTGATGAAAGATGCAACAATAGTGATTCCTTATGAAATTAATCTGGTATTTGCCATTTTGTCTATCAGCTTGGTAGACAAGATTGCTGCTTCTCGCCTTCACGGCCCCCTCCCTCCCTCTCCCCCCCCTCGAATTGCAGCTACCACTGTGGAAGCCATGATTTGCTCCCAACTTCTTTACCTTGGTTAGACCCACCCACAGCCTTTTCTTCTTTCCTAATAGTGCCATGCATCAGGAGTTAATTACAGGGGAGCAGGGACAGGCAGGAGAAATACGGAGAGAAGCACCTAGATAAAATGGCCCATGTCACCCTATTTTGGAGAAGAAAGAGTGAGGCATCCCTATAGAGTGCAAGGATCTGAGTGTAAAGTAAATGCTGTGGGAATATTAATACCAGGCCTAACATACATCCCCTTATTTCCATTTTCCAGGCAGGAAATCCGTGCCTTCAGGAAGGGGCAAGACAAGACAGGTAAATAGTTGCTCTTTAAGCAAAATGTGGATGTAGAGCGATGGAGGCTGTGGCTGTGGTGGGTCTTTTCTCTGAATTGAGCTGAGCAATAGTGAAACTGGCAGGAGCACTTTGACCATTACTATTGCAATACCTTGGTCAGAATGGCACACAACATTTTCATCATTAAATCTGACATTCAGGGTAAGGCTCTTGGGTGTTTCCTGTGCCAATCATAACAATCCACTGTGCAAATTTTCAACTCGGTAGGATATGTAGCTTCAATCCTTCATTACAAGATGTAGTCTCATAGCTCTGGGGAAAAAAACAAAACCGATGTACTGCCTTATTTAGGATGATTTTTATGTCATTCTATACAATTTCTTTTCCATTTTTGCCTACCAAGTACTCATGTCAGGCCCCCAATTTGATGTGTTTATGCTGGTGGCTTAGATGAAGAACCATTAAGTGGCATAACCCAAATGGATTTGACATTTTGACATTTTATACATGTAGCTATAGAATACTAGTGGGAACAACTAACAGAGAAGCTGAGATAAAGAAGGAAGCTCCATCATAAATCCTCTGCATTGGTTAACCACCAGCAGTCATATCAGTTTGAATTAGTCTTTTGCCACAGAATACAAGTTATTTTGCAGTATATGATGACTTGCACCATTTATTAATTTATACCTTGCATGCAACTTCCATTAACAACATGGACAACTGCTGTATTTCAGTTGTATTAGTTAATATAATTCATTTACAGAAGTGATGGCAGTATTCTTTAGGCCTCAACACGAGAGCACCACAAAAATGTAGCTCCTATTTACAGTAAATATTTCATGGCATGGAAGTCACCTTACAACCAGATAAAATGTTCATATATAAAAGATTCATTGTGCAAGATATTCAGGGAGGAACTTCAAACTGATAAGGATCATGTGAGACTAGGGGGGAGACTTTATTGTACCATTTAGGCACGTAAATGGACTTAGGTGCCTAAGTGCAATTCTGTTCCCCACTCTCAAGACCCTGAAAAAGTTAATATAAAAAGAAGGCGAGTCCTCCTCCTGCTCTTGGGTCTTTTTGTGACCCGGTTTTAAGGGCAACAGGACTGCATATTATAAAAGTAGATGCATTCATGGATTTTCAAGTCTTGAGCAGGATGGAATAGAATGACATGTAGGTGCTTCAGAGATGCCTAACGGATGGAATAGAACCTGTCCCCCAGGGCCAGTCTGTTTGTACATGTGGCAGTGGTGTTTTGTAACTGGCTATAACTACCCATCAGGGCTGTGCAAAAAAGCACCATTTTGTTTCGACTTCTGTTTTGCCATTTTGAAGGGACAGTGTTTCATTTTGTCATTTAATTTTGTTTCAAAACACTTCCATTTTGTTTAGTTAAAACCGTTTCACTGCGTTTCGATGTTTCACCTATAGGCTATAATGGAGACTCATGAAACTGCTTATAACTTTGTCATTTTTTTCCTGAATCAGATGAAAATTGCAGGGATGGTAGCCCCTTCAGAGGGCATGAAGCCTGCCATGTTTCAAGGAGATAGGTGTAAGGGAAACTGCACCTCAAGTTGGTGCCAGGCAAAACTCGTGTCACTTGCCGGCAGTGGCAGCTTCCTGTCATCCCGCGCACAGATCTGGGGGCCCACACCCCTAGGAGGGCTGTGGGGTTGAGCCAGACCCCTCCCAGGGATGTGAACCCCTGGATCTGCACTCAGGATGACAGGCGGCTGCCACTGCTGCCTGGAACCAGCTCCGGGCACAGCCCGCACCCAGCACCAGGAAGACTGGTGCTGCCACTGGCCCCAGGCAGCAGCAGTAGCCTCCTGTCATCCTGCACACAGATCTTGGGGCTCTGCTACCCCTAGGAGGAGTCCAGCAGCACTGGGAGGGCAAGTTGAGCTCCGTGAGGCTGGCAGAGCCACTCAGAGTGAAGCCCTGGCTCTCTCTGCTTCCTGCCACTGGGCTGCACTCTGAGCAGCTCCACCTGCCCCATGGAGCTCAGCCCAGTGGCAGGAGGTGGCAGGAGAGCCAGTGGCAGAACCGCTTGGAGCACAGCCCTTGCCAGTGGTTCTCCCCTGCTTCCCACTACCAGGCTGAGCTCTGTGGTGCTGGCAGAGCTGCTTGGAGTGCAGCCCAGTGGCGGGAGGTGGGGGCACAACCAGGGCTGCACTCTGACCAGCTCTGCCAGCCCCATGGAGCTCAGCCCAGCAGCAGGAGGCATAGCACAGCCCTGGCTTTCCCTCATCTCCCACCACTGAGCTGAGCTCTGTGGGGCTGGTGGAGCTGGTCAGAGTGAAGCCTGGTGGCAGGAGGTGGGGGAGAGCCAGGGCTGCGCTCTGAGCAGCTCTGCCAGCCCCACGGAGCTCAGCCCAGCGGTGGGAGGTAGAGCACAGCCCTGGCTCTCCCCTGCCTCCTGCCACTAGGCCGCTTTGAAACTCAAAATGTTTCCAAACTTTCAAAACACTTTGAGTGCCCACACTTCATTTTGAAGCTGTTTCAAAGCCTTCCATTTTGTTTCAATTTCACTGTTTTGAGCTCAAAACGCATTGAAACAGCTTCAAAACAAAACATTCGTCAACATTTCATACAGCCCTGCTACCCACATACAGAGTACATGGTACTACATGTAGTTGCATGCCTATGCTTTTAAAAGTGTGCATGGGTACTCGCATCAATATATTAGCATTATAATACAAATGTGTGCTAAGTATGTATGTGAGTTTCGACTGTGTGTATGTATAGTAAGTGTGCACATCTGTAACTGATAACTCTTAAAATTAAAGTCCTAACAGGGCACAAGTCACTGTTTTCACAATGAAACTGGAACTCCTATGGGTATGCATTTCTTTTATTTAATTTACACTGGGTTTTTTAAGGAGCCCAAGTCAAGTTTCAGCTCATGAAAAGAAACGTATGGTCTCTGGTGAAACTAAAAATAATTTTGCAGTCCTCTAGAGTTAAATTTATACAAAACAAACCAGAGTAGACGTGCAAACATATGATCACAAGACTCAAAATATCTTCTATAAATCAAACACAGAAGAGGAGGAAAGATAGTCTAGAGAACAGAGCACAAGATCTAGGTTTCAGTGTAGACTGACACTGTCTCACTTTCATGGTGATTAAATGATTTGATCCAAATCTATTTCCTTTTCTCTAGAGATGTATAACATGTCCCTATCGCAGATGCACTGAAAAAGAATTCTTTATTTTGATTACAAAAAAACCCTGACTCCTCTTTATTCTGTTATAAAAGTGGCAACCCCATCCTACTGCTCACTCAGGAAGTATGTGGTAATAAACGTTTGTAAGGGCTTTGATATCTTTTGATGGCAGGTGCAATAGTAACATACAGAAGCAAGCAACAGCATTGACAAAATATTAAGAACCTGATTTCAAAAGGATCTGCCATCCAAATTAGGCACCAAAATAAATATTTCTATTTGGCTTGCCAAATTCATAAAGACAACAAATATTTCAAACGAGCTCTACAACACGGAACAGCAGAGTTGTGGCAGAAGTCTAAACAGGTGGATAATCATTGTGTAAACAATTCTCCAATGATATGCCAACATAATCAGAACAGGAAAGTTCCAGAAGAGAAAGACACTCCATAACCAATTGCACCATCATCACAGGAAACACTTAAGATACACACTGCAACATACAACATCACATGGTGTAGACTATACACTACCACACATAGACATTTGATAGCAAGCCGCGGGTGGTATAAAGCTAATGTTGACCAAAGGAAAATCTTATGTCCCTAAGGATAACTAAGGGAAATATAAATATAAATTATGTGATATATAAATTACATAGAGTCACTGAGCAAGACAAATGTGGAGGATATTTCTGGTATTTACCAGGGCACTCAGCTACAGTCATGTTTTATAGCAACCTGTGAAAGGTTGTGGGCCAAATCCATTTTAAGTTCAGAAACCACATGCACGTATGGGCTCTATTTGACAGTGACAAGTTTCCCTTCCCTTTCCAATCAATTTCACATAAATTGCTTCTACTTCACTGCACCTAGGGCCTGCCTCAGGCTCGGTCTCATGACGACAGCCTAAGAGTAGCATGGGGGGTGGGGGAGGGTGGCTAGGCAGCCACAGCTATTCCCATCATTAATCACTGGTCTCTGGTGCACCCAAATATGAGATAGCTAGTGTTTGTTTTAATCGTTGCAGCCCTGGTGTTGGAAAGGAAGCCACAGAGACACCATGAGTCTCTATCTGTCAAAAACCCAAAATAAGAGAAATTCCTCCACAGTTCTCTAAACTTTTCTTCTCCTATCTTCTTGCAGTCATGATTTACCTGTACCAAAGGCTAAACATTCACACCTGTTTTCCTTCTCTCTTCCCAGGAAAATGTCTTAGATGCGTTTCAACTGCTTCTAAGGTAATCAATGCAACTGGATATGGATAGTTTTGCTGTTTTGTACAGAGACAACCCCAAGGCATTTTAAGTTCTCTTACGTGGAAAGAAACAAAAAAAAACACCCACAGCAGCCTGAGGTTCAAGGCCTCTTGACTGATTTGGGCAGAGCAAGTACTTAAACCCAGCTTTCCCACATCTCAGGTGATTGCTCTACCTACTGGGCTATTAGTTATTTGGAGACTGTCTCTCTTCCTCCTCTACCCTCCACTTCCACTTCAGACAGAAATTCTGTCCTGGGCCTGGGAAACCTGAGAACAGCACATAACAACTATTTTCCTGCAAAAAGTTTCATTTTCAGTGAACCAATATTTGTCAGTAAGTTGAAATATTGCCACCAACACTAGTAAACAGCACTTTTCCCTGGAGTTCTCCAAGGTGAGATCAAGCCTTGGAGAAAGCTTTTGGTTAAGCTCCTGGAGAGCAAGACTCTAGTGAAAGGCCAAAACATGAATCTTTCAACATGTGGCTGAGTCTTCTGCAGAAATAAGGTAATACGTTCCTTTATGAGATTCAACCACTGCAATTAGGAGAAGAGCCAGACCAGTTCAAAGAGACAGATGGGTCAAACAGATAGACTTCCGTAGCAAAAGGCCTGCAGAAGAGCAGAAAAATAGCTGAACAAATATATGCTTAAACCAGGGTCTCTCATCACCGTGTAATTGTAGAGTGGAATTAGGTAAACCACCTAACTTCTCATACAACACAAAATAAAACAAGCAAGAGTAGATGCTGCCCACAGAGCTGAATGTATTTAATGTAAACATAGGCCTACAAACCAAATCTTTAAATGTGTTTCCAAAGTTCAAAGTGTCCAAAGTGAAGCTGCCTATGATGCTGTGGGCTGAGAAAACAGATACTTGTGGTTGTGCGTCAGACACAGAGTTTGTGCATATGGGGGAGAGAGATACAACCACGAAGCGACTTTCTAGTGTAAGTCTCGGGTGATGGCCCAGAGCAAGGTTTGAAAGTGATACTATTGCAGGGTCTTTTGTGAAATATGAATGGTTTCCCCTGGCAGTAAATTAGGCCTGTGAATAAAAATACTGGAGTGAGACTCAGGAGTTACATTTCTGGCTCTACACCCTGCTGAGTGACCTTCAGCAAGCCACTTCACCTGGGGCCTCAGTCTCTTAGCACTGTAAAACAAATTTAATGATGCTGACTCCTCATAGCAAGGTAATTTGAAATCTCTGGATGAAAAGCACATTAACTTTATTATGAAAACTTTGGATGGGTGTGTGTTCTCAGTGCAAAAAGAAAGAAGTCTAGATATAACAGGGGGATTTTGGAGTCCGTGGCCATGTACAGATATTCAGACTTATTCTACTGAAACAAAATACCTAAGAACAACCAGAGTTAAATTGCTTCAAGGAGAGTTTCCAGGAGAATAGATGTCTGTACACTTTTCCCTCTGAGAGAAGCCTCAGTACAGTCCTCCAGCATCCTAGGGTACTTTGCTCCCAGTCTCTTTCTCCTTCCTTTCCAGGGAGACAGGGTGTCACTTGTGATGGACTCTACTGCTCTAGCCAAGCCAGGAGCAGAATACACCGCTTTCACAATCCTCACATTGCTCTGTAGGGGGACACAGGTTGACCCTAAGCAGTTTGGGTTAGCCAGTCAGGGCTGCCATGTGCACTTTTGCCAGCTGTCTCTAGGCAGACTGAAGGTTCCTGCTGAGAACAGAGATGTGAGTATAGGCCCCACTTAGCTGTGCAGATCTAAGTATGTACACCACCTTACATGACCTTTCCAGGCCTGGTTAAGTTAGGTATCCTGATAGTTATCAATATGCACATAGAAATATACTTGTTGGATAGGTAGGAAAATGGACATGTTTAGTATTAATCTTTTTATCTATGATCTCATTCTCTCTTGTTCATTGTTTTTCCTATTACTCTCCACTTTTCTGACCCTTTGGGTGAGATCTCGGACACTGATGTAAACTTTCGTGTGTGCAACTCAAGCAGCCTGTGGAAGGGTCTAGAAATGGCATTAAGTAGTCCAATATTTATATCAGTTACACCAATTTGGATAGCCTGCTTCCTCTTAAATAGTGACAAGCAGCATTTAAATAGTCTTCTAAGTCCACACACATCTGAAGGGCAACTTGGCTCTGCCAATTCACGGTAACTGGAAGAAAAACATTGTAGCTAGGTAAAACTATAGAGAGTAAAAAACTTAAAATATCTGACCTGGAATGAAACTCAGACTTTGGTGTTTAATGGTGCTCATTTTACCAAAAAAACAAACAACCTGGAACCTGAAGAACCTAAGAGCAGGTCTTCTGTCACATACTGTTGTATGTTCCCAGTTTTGTAAAACCACAATGCACATAAATCTGGGAAAAGTGCATATTTGCGAACAATGTACATAGTTCTCAGCAGCATGCTATGTTGACTGAGACTACCACATCAGGTACAAGTAGTATCCAGGGATAAGGGAGTCCTCACTGGCAGAACCAATTCTTTACTTTCCAGGTGCAAGCATTCTAACTCTCTCACTCTTTCTCTCTCTAATTAGAAGAATCCCAAGAGAAAAGACTCTGACAGTGCCAGTGAGATATGCTATGCAGTCATCATTCCTCAGAATAATCCTGAGGAAAAAGACTCTGACAATACCAGTGAGGTATGCTATACCGTCATCAATCATCAATCAATCAAGGAAAAACCCAGTGTGAACAAAAGCAAAGTTGAGATTGAATATACACTTGTTAACATGCCTGCCAGCAAAGTGACCACCAACAGCTCCCAGGACAATGAATATGAATATGTGATGATACCACAGAAAACCAACATCCCTTTTCCTTTTAGAGGTGCTTCCTATTAAGTAGCTAATCAACTGCCTACTCAACTGTATTTCCAGTCACGCCTGCACTTCAATCAGGCAAAAGGCATCCTGTTCTTCTACAGAGTGTATAAAATAAGACAGGTCTGCCTCCTAGATCCTAAGAGACGCATTTGTCCATGAAGAGTTGAACATACCTGGAAAGAAACTGATATGGTATACAAATCAATGTAAATGTTGCACACAAATGAGCAGTCCCAGTCTATAACAAGGTGGCATTTCGGTATAGGACATTAGGAGCTTCATTGCTACCAGCTGCTGAGATGTGTTTTCAGGTGGATTGCTGCATTATTCCACTTTTTAAAATTATAGATTTGAAATATGTCTTCATCTCCGTGACAAGCCCTTGTATGGGCTTGTCCTGATAAAGCCTAGTAATTGAGACCCTGTGCAGTCTGTGGCTAGTTTTTAAATCTACCTTGAGAAAAAGAAAGGTCTTAATGAAATTTGATCTAAATGTAACAATAACATTTCACTGACAATTGCATGAAAATAATACCATACTACCATCACTACAAGGATGGTGGAGCCTACAGACGGACCTTATTTTGCTTCAAATGCACATATGCCAAACCCATTATTTCCTATATTAGTTCCATTACCCCTAATGGAACTCAATTCTTTCAAATTCATTATTATGCTGTGGTACCTTATGCTATTGCAGCACTGTGCTCTTTATGATGAGGGTCTAGGAGCAAGACCTAGGGCGAGAGTAAACTGTGCAAGCTTTTTGTGCGCCGTTTTCTAAATATAGCCCAGTCCTTGACTACCTGTTATTCCAGTTGGGGGTTTTCCCCAAGGCACAGACCAATGAATAGGTGTCATTTCTGATATGAATAGAGGTATACCATCTATAAGATAAGAGGCATTTTCTTGTGCAGCTTCAGAAGGAAAAAAAAAACAGGAAAAATAAAAATCAGAGCAGTTATGCTTGGTGGCACTTGAGGACAATAATTCCTCATGTAACATTTTGGCTTCCATAAGCCATCCCATTAACATGAGAGCTCAGCATTTTTAAACACATGCTAACTGATTGTAGAACATATATTTGCATTTTATGGGTGATCAGTGACATGAAAAAGCATGCTTCTGGAAATGCTGCTGGTTCTTGTATTCTAAATTTGCCTCAAAAGGAAAGGTAAATAAACTGCAATTTGCTTGTTGGATATCGCACTCGGGAACTGTAATGCAGAGCAGAGGAGATGGGATGGTGGCGGAGGAGGCACTCTGGTGGCAACCAGCTTTCCCCACAAATGTCTGGCAGCTCCTTTTCTCCAGAACTTTTGAATCCAACTCTGTGACTCCATCCTGCTGCCCTTGCCCTCACAAACCTCCTGATACTTGCCCTACTTCCCCCTCTGCTTACAACAGCAATTGGGAGCTACTCCATTCCCCAAGTATGGTAAAGGTGGTGGGGCACAGGGAGCTAGACAGATTCTTCCCTCCCTCTCCAGCACCTTTCACTAAATCCCTGGGAAGGCAACAGATAAAAATGAGCAACTGCATTTCTTCCTAGCAGTGCTGTAGAACATTCTCCCAAATTAGAAAGGGCTTAGGGCACGAAAAATCACTATTGACAACAAGAGCCATGGGAACAAAACAGCAGAGTCCAGGCAAGGCTACTTTACACAACTCCCACTGCTTGCAGATATTCTTCATGGCATGCTGCTTTGGGAGACAATGCAACCACTACCTTCCATTAAGGTAGAAGCAAATTTTTCCTTCCACCAATAAATGAAATTGAAGGAAATATTGTTTTTTATACACACAAAAAATGTAATGCACTACATAAGAGCCAACACAAAAATCAGGAAATGGGATGTATGATTTTTGTCAGCCACAGCTAAACTGTATGTACCAATATAGTGTCAGCAAGTCATGTGACGCATGTTAAGAGCCATGTGATCAACTAATTTACCTTGTATTATTTACGAAATTTAACTAAAACTCACATGAGTAAACCTCAACTGGGGCACTTACAGTTTTTTTTTCTAACAACTGTTCAATAGTTCTAGTTGTCTAATAAATTCATGGTTATTTTTTCACCTCAAAATCACCAACTGGGGACAACTTTAAAATGTTAAGTAGTATCATAATAATAATTGAATGCATATAAGGCAGCTTTCAAAATAATTCTTTAATATAAATTGAGAACTTAAACTTGAGAAGTTATTATTATTTCCCAAAAGCTCATCTCTCACCATAACATAAAAAGGTTTCTAAAATAACATGTTTATAAAAAAAAAAATTCACATTTTAACCTTTACAAAAATATACACAGACATTTTCCTGATCGAATTATACTTCATTTATACAACATTAAATTTGTGTTCTGTCCACAAAGTCATGATACTCGTAAGAAAGTCTCTCTTCAAATGTGATCCCTTGCTCATGTGTAGTGTTGTAGTAAATTGTTACTCATTTTGTAACACATACCTATATTACACACTTCAAAACACAAAAGTTTCTTGATCTTCTACTGGCTTACTTGGCACACTGTCTTGCCTTCATGAAGGCCTAGTGCTTAATGCTTTGGTATACAGGGAATGCTTTTGGAGCAAAGTATCTGCAAGATTACAACACAGGACAATTTCTGAACCTCAGGAACGTCCAAGGTACTTCATAACACTGAACAACAAAGGACTCAAGTCTTCCCTCCACCCCAACCTTCAGCTTAAATTCTCAATGCAAGAGAAAAAGAGAAGACGGCTCCTGCAAAGTGAACACAAGAAGGAAAAATGAGGAAGACAAGAGGACTCCGAGTTCCTGAGAGGTTAACACACACACGAAGTCCATTAAAAAAATAAAATAATAATTTAATTTACATTTTCCAAACTTGCCAGGAATGGGTTTTGAGATCTATTTCAGAGTTACAGGTAAAATACAGGGGGAGAAGCAGGAAGGGTGATAGTCAACAAGAGAGAAGAGATGAAGGTGAGGTTGGGAATTAGACACAATGGGAAAAGCTTCATAGAAAGCAATCTTCTGGGATGAGCCAAGAAAATAATGTGACTATGAACAAAATCAGTTAAGGGCTGAGATTTAAAAAGCAGTGAGGTTATGACGGCAAGAACAAGGAACTGGGACCAGCAAAGGGACTTCTAAAGTGGATAAATGTGGTCAGGTGGCAGGCACGGTGCAAGATTTATTGCAATGAGCTTCAAATGGATTGAGAGATGTGCGACGTGAACATCAGGACAGTAATAAAAAAATAGGAAACTGCCATATCCCAGGAGTAAGAAATTGCTATAAATATGCTACATTCCTACGCACAGTCCGGCATCATGTATAGTATTTGCACATCACCACTTTTTCAGAAATGTTTCAGCACAACAAAATATCCATCAGGACATTAATAGATATGGCAAGCTCATCTCCTCAAGCGGTTGCAGGAGGCTAGGAGCTGCTCCATGGATTCTCTAAAACAAAAAACAATGTTACTTAGAATTAATTTTAAATAACCACCTCACTTCCTCTTAAATACTTCACATAATTTTTTTCTCACTACCACCACCTAACGAAGTGGACTCCAAGATTAGAATTCAAGAGTGCCTGGTCTCCAGTACCGCAGCAATACCCTTCTCCCTAGTGGCATTACACATAGGGTAATGTCACCACCTGAACTTATTCTGAAAACCATTAAAGGGAGGTAGATTTCCAGTTAACTGCTTTTGGTTCGTTTGAAAATCCCGTTCCATAGATAGGCACCAAGAAGAATGGAAAGCCCTGAAAGTGAGTCACTAGAAACTAGCTAGGAAAGCAGAAGAGTCTATAATTTGAACTAGACCACAGCTTGAGTGAGATGTTTTTAGAGTCTGGTCCGGGATTTTCCTCATTAAAAGAAACCTTTTTTACACCTCTGGACTTTTTAACAGTGCTTATACTCAGCTATAAAGGCCTTGTTACACCTTTGGATCAGTCACATGTGCAAGCCTGCAGGGGCCTGGTGGACTGAAAGGTAATCCCCCTCTCCCTTGCTCTGGGTCCCTGGGGTCCCCTCTGCTCCCCACCACCTCTCCCCCAGGGGTTCCTCCATTTCCAACGGTTACTTGTGGCCACATGCGGTCTGTCCCAAGGGAGCTGGCAGGAAAGGGTTAACTTGTCTGTCCCACTGAAGTGTCAGGCTGCTGCTCTTGTCTAAGCTGGGCCCAGCCAGAGAGCAGCCACAGAGGCAGAGCAGGCAGGTTAACCCTTCTCTGCCTGCTCCCCCAGAGCAGACTGCACAGGCAGCCTCAAGGAAATGGGGGGCAGAAGGCCAGTGTGCAGGGATCTGGGGTGCTGGAGAGGGTGAGGGGCAGTGACCCCAATCCGAGCCAGCAGGAAAAAGGGGGCAGGTGGGGTGTTTACAGCAAGGTGTAGCCTAGAGTGACCACACCTTAGTGTGACCTGAGCTGCGTAGCATGGATCAGAGATCATTCTGCCTTGGAGTGTCAACATTTTGAGATGGATAACCAGTGCTTAAATTTAGCTTCAGTTTGTAATGTGCAGACAATCTGGGTGTTCAGAGCTCCAAGACCCAAAACTGCCAAATAGCAAAGCCCTTAGGCAGGGCAAGCTGCTTCATTCAGGGTCTACAGCAAAACTTGAAGCTCACTAGATTTTTAGTTAATGCACGTACTCTTAACAGATGAGAAGCATGCTGCAATATAACAAGCTGAGAAACAGGACGGAAATCCAGCACTTGACTTCTGACAACACACACAAAACTCCTGTTTATAATACATTTTCCCCAACTATATCCGGCACTTCCAAACAAATGAAATATAATTAAGCAAGACAAATCATGTTCATTATTTCTTTGTAATAAGCTTTTTCTGCCCTCACACTCCATCATGGAAAAAAAACAATCATCATCATCTATTTGCTACTCCTCCCTTTTTCACTAGCATTTAAGCATTCAAAAAATCTTTTTTAATAAAAGCTTTTCTAACTAATTTCTAAACCCTAAAATTATCTGCCTGATATTAGTGCTGTGACCAAAGTAGCATAGAAATTTAGCTGAGTGTTGGCTGATAACACTAATTTCAGAACTCATTTGAGGACATAAGTTCCATTTGATACTATGAGACTGAAAATTTTAGAATAGTCTTAGTGTTTTGATGTGTGGAAATGTATTAGCTGACAAATCTCACCATCTTTCCGTAACTAATACTTCAAATTTAAGAGAGAAGAGGATGTACACATGCTATTTCTGGAAATACGTTCTTTGTAACATATGACACTTACAAGTTAGCGTGAGAGAATCTGGATCAAGCCTTATCTTTGTACAGTCAGATGCTCCCTTATCATAACTGTCTTCTTCATCAAGAATATTTTGACGCAAGACATTCATCACAAACTCTTTACTCATTGTGTACTTCATGAACTCCTCAGTCACTGGCGGTAAGGAGAATAGCAACTGATAGAATGCAGTGGCGTTTTCATCACTGAAAAACAAACAAAGCTCCATGGGTATATACACAAAATAGTCTAAGAACTAATGTCACCTGTCAGTCCTCAAGTGCAACTATTGTTGAGGCTAATAAGTTGTGCACATAGTGTGGAGATAATGAGAGAGATGCTCCCAAAGGTACAAAGGGTAAGTGGGCAAGTAGTGATACAGTCAGATGTTTGCAACATACTTGTGTTATAAACTGAAAACAGCAATAAAAGGAGAGGTGCTGGCAGCACACAATTTATTTTCATTAAGATCCCACAAACAGCTTTCCTGATAATGATACCTGACACAACCCATCAATGCATCTAATGCAAAATCTGGAGTGGATTGTTCAAATCACTGAACAATAGTCAACCTCTGGAGCAGACCTATTAGTTCAACGAGCTGGAATCAGTGCCTTATATTCTGTATATACAGTTTCTATGAAAGTGAACTTAGCATGGAGAAAGAGGAAGAGTGACACTAGCTTGTATGCAATGAACCACTTCACATTTGCTGATCTTCTTCTAACTGAAAGGACTACACACCACATCACACCGACCAAACAGACCTGCTCCATGCCTATGTCTAGAGTGCTCCTCTACAGTCATCTTCTCGTAAGACACAAACACTCGCTAGCTCACTCAAAAGGTTTTATCTTGGTCTGTACACTGCAATGCTATGCTGACTTGCATAGTTTAAACTACTTTCCTCAGTTTTTCTGTATTTTTCCAATCCATTTATTATGCCTTATGGCCTCCCGGCCCTCCTTCAGTTTCCTTGTTTGACATCACTTGGAAAGATTCTCCTTGGCTTCTCGCTTTCTGCCCCTTCGCTGTTCCTGCAGTTTCAGCTACCCGCAACTTAGAAAAGCTCAGAATCTCTTCCCAACCCCCAATTTCTTCCTTTTATTCCTTTCACTGTAAATCACAGACAGGCATCTTCCTTAATCTCCCACAAGTGCTAATCCTGTTAGCAGCAGCAGCAGCTCTACTACCTTCCCTTATCCTGCAAGTTCGGTTGCTGCCTCAGACAAAATTTCCAGGATATTCTGATCCTGCTTTTGTCCTATCACCACCACAATCCCTCCCTTACTCTCCATCTTGTGCAGCCATAACTCTCTCCAGAATGAAACCATCTGCCACCTTGATTACTGCCAATTCTCCTCGGCCCCAGCTTTTCCACCTTTCCTGTCAGCTTCCCCAGTCTATCTAAAGGCTTCTGTATTTCCCATCTCTCCCTGCTACCATGAAAAAGCCATTGAAAATATGGCAAAATAATGATTCTCTCATTACTTACATTGGCCTATTACGGGGGTGATCAGCCCCCAACCTGCAGGCCAAATCCAGCTCATGGGGCTCCCTATGGGCCAGGAAATTGGGCAGCAGGAGAACAGTAGCAATTAATGCTGACACCCTTCCCCTACTGCCAAATTCCCAAGCCCCAGGCCACTGGATCAGAGCTGGGCCACATCTCCTTCTCCCCCTGTGGCCAGGCCACATCCTCCCTCCCCTCTCCACGTGGCCAGGTTGGGGCCCAGCATGCCTGCAGGATCAGGCCACTGACTGGATCAGCATGCCTGCAGGCATCTGGCCTGCCAAGTGAAAAGGTGGAATACCACTGGCCTGTCATATCTTTATGCTCTTCTTGCCCCTCTCACGTAGAGAACACTTCATAAAACATACTGGCACACTTTGAGGAACCATATAAATAATGGATATTTAAAATCAAGCTATTCTGACTTCTAAGCCTATTTCTTACTTCTGCAAGTTTGATTAAACTAGCAGTCAAAATCCAAAGCAATATGGATAATATTTAGGAGGTATCAAAATATTTAAAAATTATTTTTTATCTACACACACCTTATCCCTTACAATATATCAGGCAAAATGTGATTAAGGTGCAATTTCACTGATTGGGTTGGTATTTCTTCTAGCAATAGTTATTTCACAAGTTTACACTGTTTTGTACGTCTGTCAGCTTCAATCCTCCTAATTTCTCCTCCCCATCCCCTCCCCATCCAATCCCCTTGGCTGCTACGTGCGTCAGGGAGTTTTTTAAGCCTCCGTCAGAGGCATTGGATATTGCCTGCAGTCAAGGCTGGGGATCTTGCCTGGGGTGTGCCAAATATCCTGCTGGGACTTAAGCCCAGAGGTTCCTGGTTAGAGGGTCTTGCCTTTGCTCAGGGTCAGGCTGATCACCATAGTCAGGAAGGAAATTTACCTTATGGTCAGACCGTTAAGGACTGTGGTGGGTTTTGCCTTCCTCTGTAGTGGGGGGCATGGCCCTTTTCCTAGGATCTCTTGAGAGTATATCAACAAAATGTACCGCAGTACAACATTGGCCACCATGTTCCCCCTGCTTTACCTGAGGCAGGTTAGGTGTTGTGTCAGTGTTGACTGTGTAGTATTGCTACGAAGTTAGACACTGTATTTGTAAAGGATGGTTTGGATGGGGATAATCCCGTCTCAGGCAGGGGGTTGGACTAAATGACCTATGCAGGTTCCTTTCAGTCATACTTCTCTACGGTTCTAAACAAAAATAAAAGTTTAAAGAAAATTCTGATGATGGGAATTCCGTACCTGAAGGAAACTACATGAGCAGAGACAAAATAGCGCCCCAGGGCTGGAGAGGAATTGTAGACATCTGTTAACTTGAAAAGAGAAAAAGGTTAGCTATTTTCCCTATTGAATCGCTTTCAATCTCCATGAAATAAAAGGACACATCCAGTTTTCAAAGTACTTTAAGAGAAAACATTGTAAGTACAGAAGTTTGACCCAAATCTCATTAGTCTAATTACAAAATCCATTTAGCTGCTCCTGGTTGGTTTTCATTTTCAATGTGTCAACTTAAATTGTTGGATTTATAAAATGATGTTCAACTAATTTAGAAAAAAAAAATCACTGGAACTCAGTTCAAGAATGAGAATCTCAAGAGCCTCCATACAGTCTTCGCAGAATCTATACAAGAAAGTAGGTAAAATACTTCCTTGAAAATAAAAGTAATGTCAGAACATCCTAGTTTCTGAAGCTCCCTGGAACTATGATGTCTAAACAAGCAAGTTAAAAGGTGATGTATAGCTTCACTGAATAAAACTGAATAAAATTCTGTAGTAAATGCAGAGCCTGTCTAAGTCCCAGGGAGACCAGTGTTTGCTGCGTACAAGGTCCTTAGGACACAAAGTTTAGGGTTATACATATCTTAAGAGATCACTGAAATGGAACTTATCCCCACTAACATCTGAGTTAAATTGTGTGTAGGGTGATTGTTGGTTAGCCTAGTCAGAGGAAGAATTCAGGGTGAATTAAAAGGCTATGAGCTTCAGGCCACCACCCACTGATAAAAGCAATCAGCAGTTAGAGCAGGGGTGAGCAATTATTTTGGGCAGAGGGCCTCTTACTGAGTTTTGGCAAGTCATTGAGGGCCGCATGACAGGCAGCCCAGGACAGATAAAATATTAATTTTCTAAAATTTTTAGGGGCCCCGCGGGCCAGATAGAATGGTCTGGCAGGCTGCATTTTTCCCACCCCTGAGTTAGATACTGTTATTACACAGTTTTCCATTAATTCATATGAATAGTGAAATAATTCCCTTCCACAGTACTTGAACAGATCTGTTGCATTTACTCAGCATAATTTTTGAGGAGCAATAGGCAAGGAAGAATTATAACAGTAAATCTGACATGTCAGTCATTAGGCTCTTACAAGAATTTTTAACCAGAAGGCTCACTTATTCTAATATAGGTAATCACTAGGGCTGTGCAAAATTTCCCTGGCATTTCATTTCGAAGCTGTTCCAATGCGTTTTGAGCTCAAAACAGTGAAATTAAAATGAAACAAAAGCCTTCAAAACAACTTCAAAATGAAACAAGGGCACTCAAAACATTTCAAAAGTTTTGAAACGTTTTGAGTTCCAGAGTCGGGCTTGCTTGGCTTCAGCGCCAGTCCCAGTCGGCAGCAGCAGTCTCCTGTCATCTGGCGCAGATCCGGGGGCCACACCCCCCGGGAGGATTCTGGCACAGTCCATAGCCCTCCCAGGGGTATGGGCCCCCAGATCTACATGCCAGTTGCAGCACCAATCTTCCCAGCACTTGGCACAGGCTGCGCCCAGCGTCTGCCCCAGCTGGCAGCAACAGCCTCTTGTCATCTGGCAGGCAGACTGAGAGCCCACCCGCATCCTTGGGAGGGCTGTGGGGCTGTGCTGGACTCCTCCTGGGGGTGTGGGCCCCCATCTGCCTGCTGAATGACAGGAAGCTGCTGCTGCCTGGGACCAGCGTTGGGCACAGCCCACACCCAGTGCGAGGAAGATTGGTGCTGCCACTGGCCCCAGGTAGCAGAACTAGCCTCCTGTCATCCAGCAGGCAGATCGGGGACCCATGCCCCCAGGAGGAGTCTGGCACAGCCTCCACAGCCCACCCAGGGGTGTGGGCAGGCCCCCGATCTGCCTGTCAAATGACAGGGGGTGCTGCTGCTGCGTGGGACCAGCGCTGGGCACAGCCCACACCCAGCGCCAGGAAGATTGGTGCTGCTGCTGGCCCCACGTGGCAGAACCAGCCTCCTGTCATCCAGCAGGCAGATTGGTGGGCCCACACCCCTGGGAGGAGTCTGCCAGAGCCCCTGCAGCCCTTCCAGGGGTGCAGGCCCCCAGATCTGCAAGCCAGATGACAGGAAGCTGCTGCTGCTGGCAAGTGACAGGACTTTTGCTTTTCAAAGACTTGAGGTGCAGTTTCCCAGAAACCTCTCCACCTATCTCCTTGAAACTTGACAGACTTCATGCCCTCAGAAGGGGCTACCAACCCTGCAAGATTAATCCAAATCAGGGATGAAATGACAAAATTTTAGGCATTTTCATGATTTCCCATTATAGCCTATGGGTGAAACGTCAAAACAGCAAAATATTTTCAATGAAATGAAACTGAACAGTGCTTTTGAAACTAAACAAAACTCAAAACAAAACACTCTTCCATTGAAATGAAGCAGAACAGTGGTGTTTTGCACAGCCCTAGTAACCAAACAGCCTAGTTCAAAACCACCTGCATTACTTTTACTCAGATGCTTAGAGATATGCAAATTGTTCACTAGATGGAGACCTTGCATCACATGAGAAAGAGAAAAGAACCTCAAGAACGCTTTGCTTTAGTAAACTGCTTGGATACAGGAGGGATCTAGAGGCAGTGTACAGGCACAATAATTACTCAAAGGGACCCACACTCCTGCATTATGGTCAGAATTATCCCTGATAGAAAGATAGTTAACACTTACCTTCTTTGTAAGATCTTCTGAGTAAGCAGTTCCAGCAGAACACCGTACTTTTAATGTTCCTGAAAAATTATGGTGATTTCCATGAGACACCAAGTCAGGATCCCAATATTCATCTTCATCTGTGTAAACCTCTATGTTTTAAAATGAGACAGAAGAGGAGCAAGATAAAAGTTCCTGTTGTCACAGATGGGTTGCAGACAAGCAACTTGTTTCTACACAGATTGTGAACTAACACAACGCAGGCAGGCTTATTTTGTAGAAGACACTCACATCCAGGATAAAGTTAGCCCTTGAAAAAGGTGTAGTGACTTGACCATGTCTCCCAGAATCTCTCTTCAATGCAAAAGAGCTTCCCTGCCCCCTAGTGGCCACGCTCTGTAACTGCTACTACTGCAGGCAACTAACTTGGAGGGTTGGTCATGTATCTTCTTTCTACAGAGTACATGGAGATAAATTACAGGGTAATAACTATGTTGTGTACCTGCCCTCATATAAAAATGATACTGTTTCACTCAATATCTAGCAACTGTTCAGCATGTTCACTGGATGGAACACTGACAAGTGGATCACTGGCTGTTATAGCCAGATTGGCAATGTATTTTTTCATGCTTAGAAAAAATATTTTCTACCACTTGTAATCTAGACCTGGCTCAAGGTTTACAGACTTTGTCTAGATGTAATCAAAAGTACTATTCCTTCTATACATTTTCCAAGGCTGCTTTTCCCTATTATTTTTCTGTATGAATATTTAAACTAGATTTAGAGAGAGGAAAAAAACCAGAGCATGATTGAGTGAGGTGCATGTTGCCACCGACTTCAAGCATTGTTTAATGCCCATCCTGATGGTAAGGCACTAAAACAAACACAGCTTCAGTGGAAGGATCCCAGTACAATTTAAATGCACAGCTGCCCAAGGCCAGAGGTCTCTGTGCACCTTACCCAAGGGCCTTTTTTACATGTACTCCAGGAGTTGTGGGGGGAAGGGGGATTTTAATTAGAGAAGCTTTAATTAAAGTTCCTGGAGTGCCTCATGTATCAGTGTCCCCGGATTTCAAAATGTCAGTGGGGATACTTTAAACCCCCACCACTATTCTGCACCCCCACCGCTATTTTGAAGCACAGGGATGCCGATACATGAGACACAGAGGCTGGCTGCAGTGTGCTAATTAGCATGCTCCAGCTGACTCGATTAATCGAGTCTGCTCCAGTGTGCTGTAATTACAGAACATTGGAGCAGCCTCCCAGCACATCTACAGGCATCCTAAGAGTCTGTACAAATTCAAGTATAGTAAAGTCCTTATTTACAACTAACAATAACCCACTGTTCAACCTAGCACCTTTGATAAATCAACACCCAAAACTGCAGTCTTTCCATCACAAAACTAAAGACAGGTCACAGCATGATGTCATAGGTCTCACCTGATTTGAGAGACATATACTCTTAGGCTAAGGATAGAAGTTACGTAAGCTGGTTTAAGTGATTGGACTCTGGTTCAAATCTGTAACAGAACAGAAGTTCAGTACACATAAACTGCTTTCAAAATGGCCAAAACTGGTTGAAGATAAACCTGGCTGGATGCAGTATCAGACTTAACTGATTTAGGTTAAACCAGTTTAAGGAACTTCTGTCTCAGATCCCCTCCTAACTCAAATTAACTCATGATCTCCTAGTATGTCAGGATGCTTTCCAGCTGTGGGCTGTGCTGCCTACTCCATGGCTGGCCCTGCCCCCAGCTGTCACAGAGCTGTGGTAGCCAGAACAAGAGGGGTTAAATCAAAAAATATATTCTCTTGGAAGCATCTGGTAATTGTCTAAGCAGTTAAGATTAACTAATGCAAAGCTTGTAAGTTTGCAACCTGCAAGTGGAATTTGTCTGTCACAATTTAACCAAAGTGTTAAATCTAACTGTTTGCACTGATCATGGGACCACTGAGCCCCAAAAATAAGGAGAGGTAGAAGATTAGCTCATCTAACAAGTTTTTTAAAGGTCAGGACATAACAAGATCTGACCACCTAATATAATCAGCACATTCCAAGGAATCCAGGAATAAGAAACTAAGGGCAGAGTAATGCTAATTGCAAACCTCAAAGTAATGTGGTATAATTGCTTATTGGGTAAACCCAAGTTCAGGCAGTAAACTTTCATGATAATTTCTAATACCTTTTGATCCCATAGGGTAACAGCTATAGGGCAAGATTGTGAGTGGCTCTAAAGCCAAGAGATTAGCAAAAGATAAGGTATAAAGAAGGACATATGTCAGGTGACCAGCATGAAGGACAGGACAGAAGGACCATCGCTGTACCAAGACTGGAGCATGGACTCCCAGCATGAGTGAGGACCGGATCCTGACCAAGGGACCTTCCCGGTGACCCCTCGAACAGCATTGATTGGGGATCCTTAACTTCGCTGGAACAACTTGGCGCGCACCTGGCATAGAGGGACTGCTGATAAGTTGCCAACCCCATGTGGGAACTCCTTGTCATTCTGTCTATCTATTGTTATTATTCACTATTAGCTCTTTATTACTGTACTATCTGTTTGTCACATTAACCTTTCTGTTAACTGTTGTATGTTAAGCTATAAGTAAATTTGCCTCTACTTCACTCCCGACTCACCTCCACGATCCCGAACCCAGCAGCCTCACAGCTGATATACTCACAGCGCCTAGCCAGCCTGTCACAGAGCTGAAGCATTAAAGCCTCTGCTCCCCAGCCTGCTTCCCGCTTGTGTCTGTTAGCTTGGCAGGTTGGGGGCCAGAGAAACAGACTCCCAGGACCTTCTAGCCCCAGGCTGTACAGCAAAGGGAAGAAAAGCCCCTGTGGTGGGGACTTTTTGCTCCTTCCCTTGCAGGCCAGCCACCTGGGCTGGGATCAGCTTAGCCCTGCCCTCTCCCCAGCCTCCACCTCCTAGAAGTGGAGAACACATCCCGCCCTGCTCCCACCTGGCAGTCTCCTCACCAGGGTGCTTTTCACCCACTCCCTCCCTGCAGCTTAGAGCCAGGCTGGGATTGGCTCAGCCCAGCCTCCTCCTTAGCTGTCTACCTGCTCAGACAGGCAGGGGGGAAGGTGAGGTGGGAACACACTCCCCTAGGTGAGGTCTGCCCAGCATGGGGAGGAAGCACTCACTGGGGGGCTTTTCACCTCCCCTACCCTACAGCTTGAGCCAGGCTGAGATCATAGCAGCTCCTCCGCTTCTTCAGTCATCCACCTCTAAGGGACATTGGGGGTGGGGGGAGGAAATGCATTGCCCCCATCTGCTCCAGCCTCCCCAGCCAAGGTCTGTCCAACATGAGGGGGGAAGCAACCACTTTTGCCCCTCCCTGCCCCACCCCTGCAGCTTCAGCCAGGCTGGGATCATCTCAGCCCTGCTCCTTCCCCAACCACCTGCCTCCAAGCAGTGGTTTGCACATGCTGCCCTCCTCCCCCACCCCTTTCAGTCAGATGACTGGGAAAGGGGCAGGGCTGGGGTGATCCTATCTTGGCCTGAGCTGCAGGGTAGGGTCCTGAAACCCCCACAGTGGGTGCTTTCTCCCCCATGCCATGCAGACCCTGGCTGGCAGGGCTGGTGCCAGGCGGAGAAGGGTGAATTCCCATGCCCCCCCACACACTTCTCAGAAGGGAAGGGGCAGAGTTGGGGTGATCCCACGCAGTTCTGATCTGGAGGGCAGGTAAAAAGACCTCCAGTGGGGGCTTTCCCCAACACCCCAAAGACACTGGTTGCCAATCCATCCTGGGCTGCCACTGAGCTAGGTTCAGGAACACTAAGCAACCTGATCATGAGGGGTGGTGCACATGACTGCCCCCAGGCTCCTGGCCTGGACCAGTATAGGCTTCTGGGTGTCTTGGCCACCCAGGATAGGGACAGACGTTACACATAAACCAGTTTAAGTGATCAGAAACCAATTTAAACTGTAACAGAACAGAAGCTCAGTGCACATAAACCAGTTTCAAACTGTCTGATTGAATGCAGTATTAGACTTAACTGATTTAGGTCAAAATGGTTTATGAAACTTCTATCCCAGACCCCTTCTTGGTTCAAGTTAAATCACAGTCCCCCAGCATGCTTTGCAGCCCTGGGTGGGCTGTGCTGTCTGTTCCAGAGACCAGGGCTGCCCCACCCCTCTGCTCCCTAGCTGGTGCAGTGAGGACTGGGTGACAAGGGGGTGGGGGGCATCAAGCCTGGCTGGGGATGCAGCCCAGTCTACAGAGGTGGGAACTATCCCCCGGGCAAACCCCAGCTGGAGTCTGAGGCCAGGGAGGGGATTTAAACATCCTTTCCCCTGCTCAAACTTACTGTTGACTGCAACTGTGGATTACAAATCCCAGAGGCACCTGGAAGCAGGAAGAGGAAGTGATGAGCAACCCTGCAGAGTTCTGCTGTCATGCTGCTGCACTGCAAATCCAAAAGACCTCAGGGGTATGAGGAAGAAGAAGTGAACACAGCCAGAGAGCCATGCTCTAGCACCCCCCAGGGTTCTGGCCTGAGCCACTGCAGGCATGTGGCTGCATTTCCTGAATTAAAGGTAAATGTCTGTTCACTTCTATTTCAATTTAGTCTGTGCAGTTTAGTCTAATGTGTAGAGATTGAACTGATTCAACCTTGGGCTTTTTGACTGTCTGTACCTAGCCCCAGACACTGAACATCAGTTCAGTTTGTTATCAGTTCAATCTATACAGCTTAGAAAAAACTGTGAAGATTGAATCAATTTTGTCGTGGGTCTTTTGAATCTCTGTTCTTAGCCCCCATGTAATGTACATACCTGAATAAAGAATTAAGCTGAAGGTAATCAATAGGATGATCACTAGAAAAACTGCCAGTATAAGCATCCACAGCTTACATTTCCAGAAAACTTCTTGTCTACATGGTCTCCAGATGCTTTCCTAGTCACACAAAGAATAAAAAGGAAATTTATATTAACAAATAAAGATGGGAGAACTGCCCCCCAAACAAAGCATTACCTGTTTTCAAATTTTAATCTATCTAGCTCTGCATTTTCACTGTGCCTTTTCTTATTCACTCAAGGGTATCAAAGCACTTCCAAAATTATAGACCTAGCTCTATCTTAATAAAAAGATGGCCAAATTCATGCATCCAAGGTCACACAGTAGCAAAACCAATTAATAGAAGAACCGGCCTAGCCTTCTTTTTAACTGAAATCTGAAAACCAGGAGCTGTTGTGTACTATTTAGTCAACTGTCAAATGTGTAGGTTTGTTTCTACAAAAGGCAGACCTGCACCTTTGTACCTTTTCAACCAAATGTTCAATTTTAACCTGATTCAGCTAAGTTATTTCAAAAGGTTGCATAAATACACTTGGCACATCCATACAAGCACAAACATGCAGTATGTGGTGCCACAGAACCATCTGCAGCACCCACATCACGCATGATGTTCAGCACAGGGAAGTTGGGGTTTTTTTGGTGTGGGTTTTTTGAACACAGGATCTCCTAGGTCAAAAAAAAGTGGGGCTGTGCATATAGCAGCAGAGCATGCCACCCAAAACTGGAGCCTGGCTGACCAGAGCCGGGCTCCAACTACTGGCCAGGCTTTCTGCTGCAGGAGTGCCACAGCTACAGCTGCCAGAGGCCTCCAGTATACCAGGTAAGGCTGCTGGGGTCAGCACAGTTGCTGACCCCAGCCTCCCCTACCTCACCCAGGGTAACCTGCCATGTACCAGAGCACGTGTGGCACAGGCGTCCTCTGGGAATAAGTAGCAGCCTTGTGCCACTGCTACTTGTCCCTGGGGGAAACACACTTTCCCAGTTGTCTGGATGCACCCACTCATCTTAAATGAAATAGGTTTAACTTAAATACACCTGCATGGGTGGAAGATCAGTTTTATTAAATACCTTTAATATAAATCTGTCTGGTGAGAGTTACTGCCTTGATAAAAAGTCTAAGTTCTTTGAACCATTATAACTAATGTGAAAAAGGTGGAAAACTATAGGCAGATCAGGGATTTGATCAGGGATTCACAGAAGTCACCAGGAAACTCAGGTCTTGCAGATCTTAGTTACCTGCATAATGGATACCTATTATAGGAGTTTACAAAGTCTGAAGGATGCAGCTATTTGGCAGTTATTCAGTTAGCTACCCCTCCCGCAAACACTGCAAGCTACCCTAAAACAAGAGTACTCATGTATCATAGAATCTTTCTAATGGTGAGTACGTATAACAGCTCAATGGGCAACAGTGCTCAGCACACAATGTCCACTTGTTAAATACCTTTAAGTATAGCTGTTTGGTTTAAATACTTTACAGGCTGTGAGGGATAACATCTAAAAGCTTCCTGGTTTCCTAGGATCAGCAATAATCAGCAGTGGTATTGTACATTTCACAGCATTTCTGAGTTTCTTGAACCACACCATATAGCCTGCTGCAGTTTACAGACTCCACAAGCTGCCTCTTGAGTGTTTGTCTAGTCTGGTATATTAAGGAGGAGGAGTTTACAAAAGAATTCACAACCTAACTAAAACATTAGGCCACAGCGTTTTCAAATATAAACACAGAGAGCAAATAATTCTAAGTTAACCTCTCTGTTTTCTAAAATAGAGTAGTATGTACTAAACCTTGCTCAGAAAAATGCCTTTTTTTTCCTTTTTTTTTTTTTTAAGTTTTAGGGGGTTTGGTTGTAGCCATGTTGGTCTAAGGACATAGGCACGCAAGGTTCTTTTGGCAGATATGGTATCTTTGATTAGACTAACTAAATAGTTGGAAAAAAGTTCTTTGCGACCTTTTGGGCACAAATACCCTTCTTCAGGCATTGGGAGACTCTGCTGTTGTTCTGAGTTCTCCAAGGTAGAAAAGAAGCTAGAAGTGTGACAAGAAGCCTGTGAAAATGAAAATGGGTGAAAGTTCAAAAGACTTCATAGATTTCATAGACATTAGGGCTGGAAGAGTTCCCATTAGGGATCATCAGGTCCATCCCCCTGCCCCAAGGGGCAGGAAGTCAGCTACAATGGGTAGAGATAGGAGGGGAGAGGGGAGGAGGGGAATGTAATGCAAATGGTAAGCTTCAGGCAGGTACCTGCTGAATCAGATGTCAGGCAGGTTGTCATGTGTCATAAATCCAATGTCTATATTAAGTCCATGATTTTTTGTATCCAGTAGATTTATGCAGTGAAGTTTGTAGGCTTGTCAACAAAAGGTGTTTTGTAAATTCCCTTTGCGGATTATAACTGAAAGATTGGAGAGGGAATGATTGTCTTGTGAGACGTGTATACGCACAGGTAACTGGATGTTTTTATTTTTGATGGATTTTCCATGTGTTCATTTTGGTACGCAGGTCTAATTTCTCAGTTCTAATCCCAAAGGGAATTTACAAAGCACCTTTCACAGATGAACCTATTGGGATAGGAAGTTGGGATAGGAGTTTGTAAAAAATAAAAACAAATAACAACAAACGTTTACAGATAGATTCACACCACTGGATGAATTAAGATTTGGTAGGTTTTCCCTTTTTAGGAAAGAGCTTCAAGAATAAGGAGAAAATGAGTGGGGCATGCTATAGTGCATATTTACCTGGAGGATATAATATTTTAATTTGAACATTTAAGTACGCAGCTGAATTTAACACTGAAAATTAATAGGAGTTTGGTTTTTAAAGAAAGTCAAGAGAGCTTTCAAATCAATACTTTGCACCCATGTCTCATGTTTTATCTGCCAATTATATTTACTAATTGTTGCTTAAAATAATTCTGTAAAGTCAACAGGCATACTTCCCATTTTAAGTTTGGGGAAACTAATGAAAACACTTGCCCAAGGACAGAATTTCTACTTTAGTTTCCAGCCATTTGCTAAAGCCATTACAAAAATGCTGCTTCCACTAAACATGTGTACACCAACATGACCTCAGGTACGCACTCAGATCTGACCCCTCCCTACAAAACAAACACACACCCTCTGCTTATGAGAAATTGATGCGTCAGAGCTCTAGGTGAGGAGTGGCTGTGGAAAGTTTTGCAAAGCTTTCAAGTCAGATACACTGGAGCAGATCAATATGCAAAATGCCCAAGAAGGAGCCAGGAGTAATAGAATCCACAACAATATATATTATTAGTCTGCTGACTAACCAATTGTTCAGTGGAGTTAAGGCCATATACATTCAAACAAAACCTTACTTGCAGTAGTCTGATAGGTAAGGGACCCAGACTGGGATTTAAAAACCTGGATTAAAATTTGGCTGTCACAGCCTGAGAGAGATTGTTTTTCACCCAAACTGAAGCCTGGGGGTCACAGAAACTTCTCAGTCTCATCATACAAATTGATAAACTCTGTAGCACCTGCAAGCTGTGACCACAGACAAGGCCAGTCTAGAAATCTGCTGTGCTGTTATTTGGACAAATATAAATACATTTATATTTTGTTTGGTGATGGGTTTTATCAACTGATATTGATCATCTCTAATTGTCATTGCTTCCAGTTCCATACAGAACATTAAGTTGTATACTAAAGGACAATCAATAAGTAATTTAGACCCAAATATGATTTACATTGTGGGAGAGGACAAATTCTTAAAAAATCCCACTATTAATGTCTTTTCCTGGTATTCTATTTCTAAGCGTAAAAATGGTTTGAATTTCAATATCCCTTTCACGTATGCAATGCAAGACCACATCAGAAAAGGAAAGTGAAACTAATAAAATAAATGGGCTGCTTTCCCTTCGCTCAGGAAAAATGACAAAAGAACTTTGTTCTCAAAATCCTGCTGCCATCCTAGCAGGTGTTATTAACAGAGGTGAGAAAAAAAACAAAACTAAGCCTCAAAACCTTGCTTTTAAAGTATAAGAAAACATTTAGAGAGGCAAGTGGCATTTAAACATAAGTGAACAAAAAATGTTATGAAATAGTTTTACAAAAAGCTCCCATGACCCTGAAATGCTCCTTTACTTCATTTCCTCTGCTTAGGTAACGACTTTATAAGCAAAAATCAAATGACAAATCCTACCTTACTTTTTGTAGATTCTTCAGGTTTAAGTGGGTCCTTACTTTTTGCCTCATCATCATCTTCATTCAGTTCTTCTCTTGCTTCTTGTAATTCAATAACCTGATAATCCTGCCCAGGAACATGGTCATTCACAGTGTCCATGTCACTGTGAGAAACTGACTTTAAGGCAAGTCCTGAGAAAATCTCACTTCTTGTTATGGTCACGGTTATCTCAGTATCTGTTTAGCAAGGAGGTTTGACGCATTGACAGCGAGGTTAGCATAGTTAAACAGGCAAGGGATATCGCAACTATGACAAACAAGGGGAAATCCATCTGTGAGTGTACTCTCTGCAAAGGAAAGGGATGGGACAAAAGTCTTGACTCTGGAAACAGGCTCCCATTCTCTAGATGTGCAATACAAGATTTTCCAGTTTGGCTACCTCACTACATCAGCCCTCAGCAAGCATGAGCAGGCAAGTGACCCTGGGGCAAGAGAGTGTTCCCTGATAAAACAACCAAGAAATACTAAAACAAATACAGTTTGTATTCCCAGCATCCACCACCCCACAACAGGACAAGCAAGCAAAATCCTCTCTGTGTCACAAGCATCAGTTACTGGAGTGCACACATTTGATATCCCGCTTGTACAAGGTAAGTTGACTGAAGAGTCATACTGTGCTTCATGTTACTTAATCTTAGACCAGAGATGCCCTTTGCTGTCACAGACCCCATTAGAAGGCTGCCATGGGGAGCATGCGTTTGGAGACAGGAGGGCTCAGAATTTGACCTTGACAAGGCTCAAGACCATCAGTTTACCTACATAAGTAAACTACTGTAAAAGAAGGTAGGATGCATATCTACAGCATAATGGCTGCTCCATCATGTGAAACCTCAGGTCGCAGCACCTTTGGGCTACACAACTGAACCCAGCTCCCAAGTCCCCTGTTTTTTTTCTCACCATGTCAAGGTGCTCTCTGTGCACCCCCACTCCCTTTTTTCCCCAGACCTTCCTTTCCTTCAATGCCAGTTTGGTATGCCATGAGTATTTCTTTTTTCTCCTCTCTCCAAAATACCTTTCTTCCACATGGCTGAAAAAAAGTTTGGCAGAGGGCTGGTGCTTACTCTTATGTTCAGTCTCTCTGAAGGTCCCCTCCACACTCAAGTGTGGGGGGGAGTTAGTGCATGAGAAGGAAGTTAGGAAGAAGAGAAGTTTCTTTCACCCACTTCTCCCTTCCCCCTACTGGCTAAACATCCAGCTCACTGCAGGTAGAGCAGAAGTAATGTTAAGTATTAATGGCTTTTCCAACTTCCATCACACTTACAATATAGTTATGTCCACTGATTCTTTCAAAATCAAGATTCCTGGTTTTCAGGGATCAGCTTTCAAAGCTAGCTACACACCCATCCATCCATCCATCCAGTCATACAGCTGCCATCAAGCTTGATTGTAGTCTTGCTTTCCTTGTCCAAAACCAGAAAGACCCTTTAAATTTATGCACATCCTTTTCCCTTAAATGATGTCAAAGAGCTCAGCAGAAGAACAAAGTGCAAGTTATATGTCTTACTTTAGGATGTTGATTCAGGTCATTTCTACCTGAAATGGTCTCCTGGAACGTTTTGGTACTGCTGTCAGATCTGAGTTGCTTAATCCAGTGACTAGTTAGAAATCCAGTTCCAGTGAAATAGGAAAGGTGACCTGCTTAACATCTTTCAATCATTAACTTGTGTAAACTTTATTAAGGTTGACTTTATATTTCTCTCATCCAACAAGATGGAAGTTAATTCTTTCCACAACTGGAGAGAGACAGGCTTGCATACGAATTTCTGAAGCCAAATATGTTCCTTGGTTATGTTTCGACCAAGATCCATGCTTTGTGGTCCATAAACTATGAAAGGAATGACCTGAAACCATTAACCTAACAACCCCTCCCCTCCATTTCAAAGGAAACCGAGAACTGAAACTGAACTTTGTCATCCAGGTCTGTGATTAACCTACACCATAAGACAAGAGCCTTGTTACAACCTTACAAAAACAAAGAGACTCTACGCTGCCAGTGCACCTCTGAGTATTCCAAGAATTCAGACTACACATTTGTAGTGGTACAGAAAAACCAAAAGACTTAAATCACTGCATTTTCATAAAGTTTATTTATTAAAACATAGGAAGGAAGGAAGTGATAAACTATTCAAGAAGAAGAAATACATTAGTTAGATAATTTTACGATTTTTGATACCTTTAAAGTTTAGAAAATTGGGGGGGGTCATATTTGGTGTAAAATTGAAGGAAAAGCAACACACACTTTAATATGTCAACTATATTAAAATCAGTCTTAGACACTGGGATTATGTACTAACCACAATATGATTAGAACTCCTATCCAGTACTTGCACAAAATTTACAAAAGATACCATGCACAAAATATACTGTAACACAAGTCAGATTGTAGAAATGAGTTTAAGAAGAAATAAGAGAGACAACAAAGATGAATGAGATACTGAGTGAGATTTTTAAAGCTGTCTAAGAGGGTTAGATAAATCTGTTGATAAAATTAATGAACTTAACATCTTCTGGACAGGTTTGGACACTGTGAACTAGGACTTTTATACGGATATTAGTAATGGACAAAAAAAGATTGTGATCAATTGGGTACATAGAAAACTACTAGAGGTGCACCAATATATCAGCCTATATTGTATCAGCACCGATAAAAGGAAAATTGACATTATTAGCAATCACCTTTTTTTGGCCGGTGCAGCTGATAATGTCATCAATAAAAGCCATGTGCACGTGCGCACCTGCAGCACGCAAGCAGCCAGGAATGCAGCCCAGCAGCTTGGAGAACAGCATCTGGCCAGTAAGTCTATGGGGAAAGAAGGGGCATGGGGGTACAGATCGAGGCCCCCACAGTGAGGGAGGGAGTGGGGCTGGGGCAGGTGCTGCCCAGCTGGGGCAGGGTGGAGTGGGGTGTGGGACTGAGCTGTGGGTAGCTCCCCCAGGGAGGGAGGGCTCTCTGCTGCTGTACATACCCCTGGGGGAGGCATAGGGGGAATGTGCCCCCTGGATTGTGCTCAGGGTAAGGGTGGGCTGCAGGCTGCGGGCTGCGCTGGCCTCTTCCTGGTGCGGGCA